CGGTGTGGCTACCTGGGGCGCCTGAGTCGGTGTGGCTACCTGGGGCGCCTGAATCGGTGTGGCTGCTGGGGGCCGAGCCGGTGTGGCTGCTGGGGGCCGAGCCGGTGTGGCTGCTGGGGGCCGAGCTGGTGTGGCTGCTGGAGCCAATACTGCTGCCGGAGCCAATACTGCTGCTGGAGCCAATACTGCTGCTGGAGCCAATACTGCTCCCGGAGCCAGTACTGCTGCCAGAGGCATCGCGCGGGTCAACCGGGTAATAGCCACTCGGGCAGACGGCCACACAGGTGCTGTTCGGGGCCAGGTAGCTGCCCGGGGGGCAGGTAACACGGGCGTTGGCTTCCGGGCCGACGCAGGTGGCGCACGATGCGTGGCAGCCGTCGGCGACGCAGATGTCCTCGCAGGCGCCGCACTCCCAGCTGGGGCAGTAGTGGCAGAAGTCCTTGCAGCGATCGCACTGTTGGCTGCGCATGGCGAGGAAGGCGCCAGCCGGGCAGTCGGGCTCGCAGCGGCCGGTCCAGGTGCGGTCATTGCGATCGGTCATGGTGTAGCCGCGGATGCAGTAGGTGCAGTCGGCCGGGCCGGGGCCCTGGCACGAGCTGCATGTGTGGTGGCAGGGGCGGCAGGTGTCCGCCGAGTAGGAGGTGCTGCCCTCGGAGAGGCTGGACTCGTCGTCCACGTGCGTGGGGTAGGTGCGGGAGGGGCACTCGAAGTGGCAATTCCCATGGACCAGGGCCAGGGGCTTGAAGCAGGCGCTGCAGGTGTTCTGGCCGATGCATTCGGCACAGGAGTTGGTGATGTACTCGCACGGTTGGCACGTGCCGGTTTGGTGCTCGCTCGCCGGGTCGGCATGCATGAAGCCCGTGGAGCGACAGCTGGTGCAGCGGTCGGCGCCGGGGCCGGCGCACGTGGAGCACGAGGGGTGGCAGGCCTCGCAGGCCCCGGTGTCCGGGTTGGGGAATTTCCAGCCCGGGCAGACGGGCATGCAGGCCCCCTGGTGCAGGGACAGCCCGGCGATGCAGGCGGTGCACTGGCCGGGCTCGCGGCACTCGGTGCAGCCGGCCGGGCAGGCGCGGCAGGTCCCATCCTCCGAGTGCAAGTAGTGGCCCGGGAGGCAGGAGACACAGCGCCCGAACCGGAGGGGGTCCGGCCGAGAGCAGCCGCGGCTGGCGGGGAAGCACTGGCCCTGCTCATGTAGCCAGTCCTTCGGGCACCGGTGGGGGATGCACTCGCCGGCGGCCAGGAGCCAGTCGCTGGTCAGGCAGTCGCGGCAGGAGTGCGACCCGTGGCCGGCGCAGCTTCCGCACGAGGCATGGCGGCAATCGTAGCACAGCCCCTTGTAGGGGCCGGTCTGGGTGCCGAGGTCATCCTGGCAGAGGGGCCCGGGCTGGCACCGGCCGCTGGTGGTCCAGAGGCGGTCCAGCGTGCAGGAAGAGCACTGGTGCTCGGCCGGGCCGGAGCAAGTCAGGCAGCTCTCGTGGCAGGGGGCGCACCGGGCATCGGTGGGGTCGACATAGGCGGAGGCCTCGCAGAAGCGCTGGCAGGTGCCGTCCTGGCGGAGGAGCAGCCCGGCCGGGCAGGCGGTGCACTGGCGCGGCTGGTTCCGGTCGCAGGCCGCGCAATTGGGATGGCACTCCATGCAGCCGGGAGTGTCTGCGTGTTTTTGTGTCAATGTGTGAGTGTGTGTGTGTGAGTGTGTGTGTGTGTGTGTGTTGTGGATGGGAGAGGGGGGGGGCAGGGGGAGGCGGAAAGACAAGCACAGAGACAAACAGAGGGACAGAGGCAGAGGCAGAGGGCGTGGTGGGGGGTGTACGAACCGGCGATCGAGCAGAAGGGGAAGTCGCCGAGGTTGCCGGCGTAGTCGCTGACCGGGATGGCCGGCGGCTCCCAGTAGTGGCTCCCATCGTCCGGGAATGGGTAGGAGCTGGAATATGAGTAGGAGCCGGGGTAGGAGCTGGGGTAGGAGCCGGGATAGGAGCTGGGATAGGAGCCGGGGTAGGAGCCGGGGTAGGAGCTGGGGTAGGAGCCGGGATAGGAGCTGGGATAGGAGCCGGGGTAGGAGCCGGGGTAGGAGCTGGGGTAGGAGTTGGAGTCGGAGTTGGAGTCGGAGTTGGAGTCGGAGTTGGAGTCGGAGTACGGGTAGGAGTTGGAGTCGGAGTACGGGTAGGACCCGGAGTACGGGTGGGAGTCCGAGGCCGGGGAAGAGTCGGAGCGGGAGGCGGAGCCGGCCGCAGGGAGGACAGCGGCCAGGGCGACACAGGCGCCGGTGGCCACCGCGAGCCACCGGACAGCACTACCGCGAGCAGACATGGCGAGCAAGTGCAAGGAAGGGGGTGGGCAGAGGTTAAGGGTGCGTGCAAGGGAGAAAGGACACAACGAGCACACGAGGAGGCCAGGGGGAGGGGGGGGGGGGGCCTCAGATCCAGCTCGGCGAGCGCACGGCGCGACCTCAAACAGAGAGAGAGAGGGAGCCATTTGCGTGGGCCATGCTGGGTCGTCTGCGCGCGAACGCCACCCCCGGGACGCAGGGAGGAGCAGGCGCATCGTGCGGGCCTCCCGTGCCAGATGCGTGCCCCGTTGCGGCCCCTCGCCCGGGGCCGATCTGCCCGGGCAGCATGCCGGGAGTGGCCATTTCGGCCGGCGCCCCCCCCCCCCCAATCAGCGGGGAGGGGGGAAGCTTGGACATGCATATAATCCAGGGGCCGTGTGGGGGGGAGGGCGCCGCCGACCGGCCCCGGCCCTCCCTCCCCCCGAAGCCCGGGCTGAGACACGCCCCCGGGAGTGGGCCTCCGGGTCGGGGGCCGTGTGGGAAGACCGCCGGGACGCGGGAAAAATGGCTGCCCGGCGTGTGGGGACTTTTCCCCGGGGCTCCGGGCGCGAACCAACACCGGTGTGCGTGGGCGGGCGCTTGCGCCCCCTCCGCCCCTCCCGGTCGCGGGAGGCGACGGGCACGCGCCCGGGCGGGCTCAAGCCCTCCGGGGCGCGGTTGGTGGTGGGCCAGCACGCCGGTCGGAAGCCGCCCGGAGGGGCAGGAGCCGGGGCTGTAATTGGGGGGCCGGGGGCGGGGGGAGCCGCCGTGCCATATGGTCGCGCCTTGCCGAGAGAGGGCGGGCATGTGGGTGCGCGCCATGGTGGGTCCCCTAGACAGGGCTCCGTGGTGTGTCAGGCCCCGGGGAGATCACGCGACGCCTTCGGGGGATGACTCTCACGGGTTGCGTCCTCGTCCGGGCCTCTGGGCGTGGGAGGGTGGGCGAGGGCGGGAGAGTGGGCGATTGAGCGAGTGAGAGAGCGAGCAAGAAAGAGAGAGAGGAAGAGGGAGCGAGAGGGCGCATGCCACCGGGTCTGGCGCACCACGGTCGGAGGGCGCGACACTCTGTCTCCTGGTCAGTGTTGCGAGTCTCTGACATGAATGGCAACGGGTCCCGGCGCCCGGGGGCTTCTCGCGCGTCCGAGCGCGCCAGCCCACGGGCGCACGCCAGCCCACGGGCGCACGCCAGCCCACGGGCGCACGCCAGCCCAGGGACGCACCGCACGCAGGGGGCAGCGGCGCGCCGGGCCGCGAGCAGAAAAGGGCACGTTCATGTAGACACAGGGCGGTGTCGCCCCCACGGTTGAGTGGTGTAATGGTTATCACGGCAGACTCTGAATCTGTCAATCCGAGTTCGATTCTCGGCTCGACCTTGCTTCTTTTATTTTGCCCGGGACCGGGAGGGCGCATGCGAGCGGCCACAAAAGAGGCTCCCATACCGGGACTCGAACCCGGGGCGCGTGGGTGAAAGCCACGTATCCTAACCACCTAGACCATATGGGATTGCGTTGGTACGTCAATCGTTGGGAGGCTACTAGTGCCTACGGACGCGGGACCGTTGGCGGCCCCCCGGTCAAAAAGGCATTTCCCATACCGGGACTCGAACCCGGGTCTCGTGGGTGAGAGCCACGTATCCTAACCACCTAGACCATATGGGATTGCGTTGGCACGTCAATCGTTGGGAGGCTACTAGTGCCTACGGACGGGGGACCGTGGGCGGCCCCCCGGTCAAAAAGGCATTTCCCATACCGGGACTCGAACCCGGGTCTCGTGGGTGAGAGCCACGTATCCTAACCACCTAGACTATATGGGACATGGGGGCCGGACCCACCGGTCACATGTTATAGTCTCGTGCTCGCGGCCCCGCCGGGCCAGGGGCCCAAAAGAGAGAAGCCCACTGTGGGGCTCGAACCCACGACCCTGGGATTAAGAGTCCCATGCTCTACCAACTGAGCTAAACAGGCTGCTACTGGCGGCCTGCCCCGGGGGGCGCCTCAAGAAGGAGGGGGGATGGTCGCGCGCGGCGTGCAACGTGCGAAGGTGTGTGTGTGTGTGTGTGTGTGTGTGTGTGTGGTCTGCGGCGCGCCATGCGTGACGGGCGAAAGGGGAGACGCTCGATCGCAGCTGCCCCTGCCCCGGATGCCCGGGGGGCACAGGTGAGGAGGGTCGGCAAGCCCGCGAGGCGCATGGGGCCGGGCCCGGGCCTCGCCTCTTGACGGTGCCCCGGCTGGCGGTCCCGGAGGCTGTGGCGGTGGCCTCACGCATGTGGAAAGGCGCGCGCCTCCGGGGTGTCCGCCGCCGGGGCTCTCCGACTGCCGGCCGGCAGCCCGGGGCCTGTGCCGGGGCCGGGGCCGGGTGGCCCCATCAGACCGCGGTGCGATGCCGACGAGCCGGTGCGGCGCGCTGGCGGAACGGCCCGTCCTCGGGGGGGGGGGGGGGGGCGAGCCGCATGCGTGCCCCGGGGCCGGGGGCGGGCCCTGGTGCCGAGCCGCGCGGAGCCGCCCGCCGGCGGTGCTGGCGATCTGGGGCCGCCAATGCCGGGGGCCGGCGTCGGGCCGCCGTGCCACCCGGGCGGTGCGGCCGCCCAGACGGCAACATGCTCCCCCCCTGGGAGGCCTTCGCTTTGGCGGTCGTCTCGGGTCCTTGCCGCCGCCGGCGTGCCGCTGCACATGGGCGTGCAGACAAACGGCACCGACGTGGGCCGCTCGCCTGCGCAGGCTGGTCGTGGATGCCCCGGCGGGGGTGAATGCGGCACACCGAGCCCGGGCCCGGCGGGCCCTGGCGGTTTGCGCGCTCTGCCATGGCGCCGGTGGGGGAGCTCGCCTGGGGCTTTTTTGGACGCGTGTGGCCGGGCCATGCCGGCGGCATGGGCACATGCGCGGCTCTGCATGTCTCCCGGTCCGAGTGCCGGCCATCATCCAGGCCGGCGCGCATTGACGCACACACACACACACACATGGCGGTGTCCGGGCGAATGTCGCGGGAGTGGTGCCATCCCGGCGCGGGAGGCGGCCCGGGCGGTGTGCATCTGCTTCGGTGGAGCGTGCGGCCCGTGCGGGGCCCATTCATCTCCCGATGGGCGGCGGCCCGGCCCGCAGGGGCAGACTCCCGGCAGCCACATGTACCCCGCCCGGGGGCGGGGATGCCAGGTGGATATCGTATAGTGGTTAGTATAAGTGGTTGTGGCCCACTCGGCCCCAGTTCGATTCTGGGTATCCACACTCGACTTTTTGGAGGCGGCGAGAGGCAGGAGGGAGGCGACGGCGCGCGCTCTGTGTTTTTTTCCCCCCCAGGGTCTCGTGCGCATGTTGTGCCTCTTCACACACACACACACACACTCTCGTTCTCGCTCGCTCCCCGCGCTGGCCATGCGGCGGGTGGGGCTGCTCCCTCTTTTGAAGCCCGGCCGCGCCCCTTCCCCGCGGGGGAGAGGCGCCCGGCCGGCCGGCCGGCCGGCCGGCTGGAGGATGTCCGTCCTCGTCGGCGAGGGCGAGAGGCGACGTGGCGGGGGGCGGTCTCCCAGCTGGGGCGGTCGCCTTCCGCCGCCGGATTCCACGGACACCGGCGCCGGAGGGGGCGCGGGCCCCGGGGCCGGGGGGCGCTCCCTCCAGGGCGAGGCCTCCCCCCCTGCGCCGGTGGGGAGCCCCGCGGGAGCCGGCCCGGGACAAGAGCGAGGAGCGGCGCGATAGAGCGGCCCTGCTGCTTCGGTGGCCGGCAAAAAGAGGCACGGCACGCCGGGGGGGGGGCCAAAAGGGAGGATACATCACCGGCAGGATTTGAACCTACGCGGGCAGAGCCCATCCGATTTCTAATCGGACTCCTTAACCACTCGGACACGGTGATTGGCCGTCCCTCCCGGCCGGCAGGCATACATCCCTGTGGCTGGCGAGGCCGGTCCTCCGCCGGTTGCCCGGCTGCGCGAAAGCCCCAACATCCCCGCGCCGTGGACCGGCAGAGGCACACCCGGCCGGCCGCACATCATGCCTGCCCCTCGTGCGGTCCGATGTGGGGGGCGCCCAGGAGACCGCTCCCCCCCACCCCCGAGGATGGGGCCACAGGGGTGGCCGCGCGCGAGTCCAGCTGGGCCGATGCCCGATCCGGGCGCGCTTCGTCGATGCGCGGGGACGGGCACGCGTATGCACATATGCGCGTGCGCGGGGACGACCGGGTCGCCGTGGCGGGACAGCGCCGGTCCGAGCCTTGTGGCTGTCCGGCAGCCGGCCCGCCCCTTCCAGGGCGGCCGGATCTTCCGAAGCATTCTGGGCGCCGTCTTTTTTTTTTTTTCTTCGTCCCACGCGTGCGGCACGCCGGGGGGGGTGCCTCGAGGCAGCAGGATACCCCACAACACTGCACGTGCGCGACATTTCACGCAAGCTCGATCACGCGCCCCGCATGGCGGAAATGTTTGAGCCGCACAGGGGCCCGCGCCCCGGTCCCGGCGCACACGCCCCCTTCCCACCCCTCGTGCGATGTGTGGGCCTTCTCCCTTTTCCCGGCCGTCGCCACGCCCCTGTGCCCCGTGTGGGTGTGTGGGCCGGCCCGCAGGGAGCCAGGGCGTCCGCGGCGCGGCGGGCACCGCCTTCGGGGTCACCAGCCGGCCGGGGGCACCAAGCTCCAGCCGCTGGTGAGACAGCCCGAGCGGGCGGATCTCGCTCAGGGGCATCCTCCCGCCAGGCGGCGGAGACCATCAGTTAACTCTCGCCGTCAGCTTGTGTGTGTGTGCGTGTGTGTGTGTGTGTGTGTGTGTGCGCGCGGGGGCGCGGGTGTCCAAGTGCCCGGGGCAGAACGTCCCGGAGGGGGATTTAACGGGCAGCGCCGGGCCGGCGGTCCCCCTCGACAGGGGGACGGGGGGGGCATCGATCCCCCGTGCCCAGACTTGTTCGGGCCACCCTGCCTTGCTCCTTCTTGCGCGCGCACCCGCCACCGCCTTGCCCCTTGCCCCTTCCCCCCGCCGCGGGGCTCGTTCATTCACCCTCGGCCAGCATGCGTGCACACGCCTTCCCACGCACCGGGGAGATGCCCAGCCCGTCGGATAGCTCCTCCTCGTTCGAGGACTTGGCGGACTTCGAGCTGCTCCCGGCGTCCGACGCGGAGAGGAGCCCGCGCGAGCCGGCCGACGACGCCAGCGCGGCTGGGCCCCGCCAGGCGGCATCGCCTTCGGGCCTCGAGTTGGATGGTACGCGGCCCGGTGGGGGCGCCATGTCCTTCGCATGCCCTCGATCGGTGCGCTCTGACATCGGCATCGCGGCGCGCGGCCGGCGGTCTGGCAGAGACGACAGACCCTTCGGCGGACGCGGTCCTTCCCTTGAACCGGGACACCATGCTGTTCCTCATGGCCGTGACGCAGGGCTGGGCGCCGGCCGAGTACCGGGAGAGCGCGGTGCCGGTGGAGTTCCTCCGGCTGGTTGGCCGGGAGGCGCCCGAGCCCGAGCCCGAGCCCGAGCCCGAGCCCGAGCCCGAGCCCGAGCCCGAACCGACCGTACACCTGGCCGTGTCCCTGCGACTGGTGACCACGGTCCAGTGCTTCGATGCCGGGCAGGCGGCCCCGGCGGTGCAAGTGAAGGCCGTGCGGCGTGTGCGGTGGCCGGGCGGGCCGGTGGCCCTGCGGCCGGCCGGCGGCCTGCAGGATGCGGTCTTCCGGCGGCTGGAGCGGCTGGCCGAGTCGGAGCTCCTGCGCACCGGGGCCCCGCACCACGCGTATCTCCTCCAGCAGGAGGGGGAGGCCCTCCCGGGCCATGGCCACCCCTGGCGGCGGGTGTCGGTGGCGCATTGCCTGGTGGCCGACATCCAGACGGCCGGTCCGGCCGGGGGCCGGCCGCTGAGGCGCCGGCTCCGGCAGGTTGCCTGCGTGCTGGTGGCGGCCGACCGGGGCGCCGAGGCGCCGCCCAAGCCGGCCCGGGGGGGCCGCCGGGCCCGGGCCACCGGACCCGGGGCCCCGGCCGGCTGCCTCCCAGGCGCCGGCCAGACCCTGCGCGTGTCCCGGGACGGCGGGCTTGCCTGCGAGCAGGGGGCCCTGCTGCAGGCGGCTGCCGCGGCGCTGGCCGACCTGCGGCGTGCTCTGGACGCCGGGGACTACTGACGGTGGTGCTCTCTCTCTCTCTCTCCCCCCCCTTCTCGGGCTGCGTGGCGCGGTGTGCCCCTCCCCCTCCCCGGCGGCTCTCACGCACGCGGCGGTCCCGCTCCTTCGCCCCACCCCCGATCGCATGCCCATGTCACTGCGCCGAAAAAAAAGAAGCTCCCGATCCGGGAATTGAACCCGGGCCTCCCGCGTGACAGGCGGGGATTCTCACCACTATACTAATCGGGAGGGGCTGTTGGCTGGTGCCCCGGGGCGCGGGCATTTGAAGCCTCCGCCCTCGCGTGCGGCCGCGGGCAAAAGGAGATGCATCACCGGCAGGATTTGAACCTACGCGGGCAGAGCCCATCCGATTTCTAATCGGACTCCTTAACCACTCGGACACGGTGATGGGGTACTGCCAGTCCGGTGGCCACGGCGCGTGATATGCCTGCCCTCCGGGAGCCGGGGACGCCGCCGGTCGCGGTTGCCCGTGTGTGCCCGTGTGTGCCCGTGTGTGCCCGTGTGTGCCCGTGTGTGCCCGTGTGTGCTCGGCGACCGGCGACCGGCGACCGGCGCCATTTCCTGGCAGAGCGTGTTGAAGCAGGGCCCCGGCCACCGCGTTCGGACCGCCCTCGCCCGTGGGCCGGGGGCGAGGGGAGGGAGCGCCAGCCTGTGTGCCATGGTATGCTGTCGGTTTGAGTTCTGCCGCTGCCATGTGCCCCGCCGTGGGGCGGAGGGGGGGGCGCCGGCTGTGCCTTACTATTGTTCTCCCCTCCCCATCGGCGCCGGTCCCTGGAGGGGAACTTTCCCCGCGCCGGGGCGCCGGCTGGCGCGCGGGCGTCGTGGATCCCGGCACACGGCGCCGGGGTCTCTCGGGCGACCCCCGGGCCCGACCGGCGCACCAGCCGCAAGCTATGTGAGGGCCGAAGGCAGCGGCAGGAGCATGGCCGCGTAGCTCAATTGGATAGAGCACCTGACTACGGATCAGGAGGTTGTGTGTTCGAGCCGCATCGTGGTCATTCATTTCCTTTTGACGCGCCTCGCGCTTTTTGTTCGCAGGCGACACGAGAGCCCGCCGGCAGGGGCAAAAGAGGATGGCAAGGTCGAGCCGAGAATCGAACTCGGATTGACAGATTCAAAGTCTGTAGTGATCACCATTACACCACTCAACCGGTCCACGGCCGACGAATCTGGCGTTCTATTTTTGAAGCCCCGCGCTCCCGGCATGTGATCCGGCCAGGCCCTGCAACCTGCGCCATGTGACCCCGGGGCCGGTTCTGGCACGGGCTCAGCCCGGCCCGAGCGCGGGCAGGCCCGAGCGCTGGCAGGCCCGAGCGCGGGCAGGCGGCCGGGCACGCACGCCGGGCGCGCCCCGCAGCCTGTGCTGCTGGGGGTTCCTGCGCCCGGGGAGAGAAGAACCATCGATCCCCCTGGTGGAGACTCGCGCTCCTTTTTTTTTTTTTTTTTTTTGCACCAGCAAGGGCCCCTCGCTGGGCTGCGCCCGGGAGCGAGGAGGGACCCTGCCACCGCGCGCGGCAGTGTGTGTGTGTGTGTGTGTGAGTCCACCGGGGAGTGGCCGCGCGCCGCGGGCGAGGAGCGGCGGGCGCGGGCGAGCCAGGCGACGTGCACGGTCGGGAACCGGGCGGGGCGTTTTTTCTTTCGCCCGGCGACACCGGCGCATGCTTCACTTTTGTGGGGAACGAAGCGACGGCCCTCGCAGGGCGCTCAGCCCCTCTGCCGGGGCAGGACCAACCCGGCCGCCGGAGGGAAGGCCACAGGCGCGACGCTGCGGTGACGCCCGGCGGCCGGGGGGAGATCGCGCGGCTTCGCCGCAGGCGTTTTATGAGGCGTCCGGGCCGGCCATCCTCCAGTCCGAATGATGTAGATGGTTATCATATCTGTCTAACACACAGAATGTCCCAGGTTCGAGTCCTGGTTCGGACATTCCTTTTTGCGCCGGCCCACCTGCCCCTTTGGGCGCCGGCCCTCCTCCCCGCGGCACTATGGCAGAGACCAAGAGAGAAAGAGAGATGCACGGGGGCAGACCGGGGAGGAGGGGGGGGGGGCGAGAGACGGCCGCGGGTGCAGTGTGTAACGGCATGAAGAAGCGCCCCCGGGACCGGGGTGAGAGGCGGCGTGCTCCGCGTACCCCTCTCCCTGGGCCCGGGGGCAAGAGTTGGCACAGCCGCGCGCTTCCTTTTGACCCCCGGGGCTGCGCTCCCCTGCCCGGGGGCCGGGGGAGGAAGATCGACGGCGCACTTTTGACCCGGCCACCCGGAAGCCCGCGTGTCTGC